TCATTTGTTCTTTATCTGTCACTTTTTTTCCCCTCAGGCAATGAAAAATTAATCAAGGCAGTGATTGTAGCAGGTCTGTACCCTAAGGTGGCCATGATCAGACCATCTCACAGCAAAAAGAGGCCAGGGTAAGTTTGCTAATCCAAAGGAGGAGATGAGCAATGACAGACAGGAAAGGGCTGCACAGGCCAAGATAGAGAGGTGCACAATCAGTCTTATTGATCTCCAGAGAGAAAAATAGCCTTCACACTGCAATATCTCATCATACGTCCTGGTAAGAGTGCTCTGTAAGGGCACTGTGACAATTACCCCAGGCTGTGCAGAGGCCACGTTTGGATGATTGTCAAAAACAAAGGCACTTTTGCAGCTCAAGATCAATGCAGTCATCATAAAATTGCCCAAAGGCAGCTGTCATAAGCGGTGGCTGTGACCTGCGTGCAAAAGACAGACACGCACAACAGGGGCACAGACTCTTTCACAGCAGGCTGTCACTTTTATTGTTTATCTCGTTGACAGCTTTAGACCTAGGTGCACAGTCATTTCCCAGGGTCATTTCCTTTGTATAAGTAATTCGTAACACCAAGCAAGTTTTTAAATGTTTATGTCCGCACCACGGCTCTCCACTTAATGAATTCAGTGCTTGATTAAGCACTTGCAACAGAATACAAAGTGGTGTACGTTGAGCTGCAAAAGAGAGACGGGCTATTTGTCTGAAGCTTAAGGCACTTTGTGTAAATAGCAGAATCCATTTTCTTTTTTTTTTCTGGATTATATTGAAAACAAAGTAATCTGTATATAATCTCCTCTCTCTTATGGGTTAAGTGCATAACAGAAGGTTAGCACTTGTTCCCTGTAGTGAAACAGTTGGTTTTCTTTGGCCAACATACTGGTGTGTGGAACACAGTGTTACTTTCAGCATTCTGCATACGTTGGATTAAAAAGCCAAAAAACACCTGATAGAATTTAGCTCTTGAACAGCTAAATTCTGAGTTATTTTAGCAAAAATTATACTATATTACTTTTTCCTGGCAACCCAAACAAGCCAACAAGCAAGCGATACACGACTCTCCACTAATTTTAGAAAATTAGTGTTTTTCTAATTGTACTCTCATTAACTTTAACATTTGACATACTATCTGAGGCTGGTAGAGTTTGAGGTGGAGGAGTTTGATTTTATTTTTTCACTTCCTCTGTGCATTGCAAGGTCATGTGCATGACCTTGGGGTGAGTTTGTCAGGGCGTATAACATGTCTCGAATATTTTCCACTGAATAATTTACTGTGGAATGCTGGACTCTTAGATCATTGCTGATTTCTTTCCACCGTTTTATTGTTTTAACACAGACCAACAAACTGCAAACACTTATGTAGCGGTGTTCACACTTAATGATCAGTTAATCAGTCACATTTGATTAGGAGTACCTGGCTCCTACTTGCCTCCTTAATTCTTATAGAAATACTTAAGTTTTGACACACTAGTCCTTGGTATTCCACTGCTCATCTCTGCCTCAGAGATCACACCAGATTGTAGTGTTTGCATATAATCGTTATTTTTATCCAAACTTTTTGAATAATTTGTCTATAAAAATGTAATCAAAAGGGGGGGTGTTCATAACTGTTGCAATTTCTTATTTTTTTTTTTAACTGTTTTCCATCTTCTGCTGTGATAAATTGTCTTTTTTTCATCATTTATTAAGATGACAATTTTAATAAAAAATATGTTGTAAAGTATGAAGAATGTGAATATTCCCAGCTCTATAAAACACACACTTAGACTCACTCACATCTGATCTTTTGCAGTGTCAAAGTGTACACTCAGGCTGACGGAAAAGTGTGTATCCACCCAAAATCTGTCAATGCCGAAGAGACGGAATTCAACTATACTTGGCTTATCTATCACCTAAAGATGAGAACAAGTAGTGTGAGTATCTTACATGGTGGAGTAATCTATCTCTCCTAGTAAATGTTATATTGTTCTGTAAATGTTATTTATTTATTTTTACATTTGAGTCTGTGTTGCTTTGTGTCTTCTTGAGTTTGCATGTGTCCCTCGAATGGTGCATATGAGTGGAAAAGAGGGCCAGTGGTTAAAGGTTGGCAGTGGTGCCACACCAGCTTTGCACTTAATGAATATTTGATTAAAACACTGCCTTTCAAGTCCCTCTCAAAGGCTCTTGTGCTTCAAAGCTTCCAGATACAATGTAGTAGTTGGTGGTGGGGTGCAAAACAGTCAGTGCTGTTTGCTGACTGCTGCCTTTTTCTATATTCTCTCTTTTTTTTTCTTTCTTCCCCTCTTCACACCCGTTTCCCCTCCCTTGCATCTCTTTGTCTTTGTTCTTTCTGTGCTCTCTTTTTGTGAATGTTTCTATTCTGCAGGAAAACACCTTTTATGTCCTCTCTGATGGCCGCCTGTGCTTTTTGTCTTTAAGGGAAAATAAATGATTTGCTGCATTTCACTGTCATTATTGTTGCCATTAAATGATTTTTTTTTCTTGTCGCATGTAAGTGGTTTTGAGCACAATGACATGGTAAAAATAAGGTATTCTGAGAGTGCGAGGTTTTCAAGGTTATTTGTTTACCCTGAGAAGAAAGCAGAAGTCCAGGGCTGTAGATAGGACAAAAAAGAATAAAACTGAAGGATGACGTCCAGACTTTATCTTCTCTGACGCACTTGCCCTCGGTGAGACATAACATTACACATTCATGGAGTAAATGCAGTCGTCTCTGCTGTCTCCTCGCTTTTTTTCTCTTTTTCTTCTCTCTTCTCTCTCCATCTTTTTCTACTTCTCCCTTTTAATACTATGGTCTTCAACCTTCAAAGCTGAAATAGTTTTTGTTTGCTGTTTATCCCGCGTCTTTGACTTTTGACCTGAGAGCAAAGGAGTTTTTTGTTAGTGTGTACCCACAGAGTGATTTATAGTGCACCTATATATGACACCTTTTTCTGCCAGCAGTCTTTAGAATTTAACTATAAATAACTAAAAAAATAATAATTTGCATTATCATTAGTAGGAATGGGTATCGTTTAGGTTTTATCCGATACCGGTGCCAAACCGGAACTTTTGAAACGGTGCCGGTGCTTAAACGGTGCTCGAACCGATGCTTAAAGAATAGAGAACACAAACTTTGTCCAAAAACCTCTCATGTTTTTATTTTTAGAAGTCTCTTTTTTTTCTGCAAAATGATAACCAAGTTAGCCTTTTCTGTTGATACAGCATACCTCCTTTGGTTGGAACCAGTGCTTAAACAACGGAAAACACAAACTTTGTCCAAAAACCCCTCATGTTTAGCTGTTTTTTGTTTTGTTTTGTTTTTTTGTAAAAAGATAACAATTTTAGTCTTTTTTGCAGCTATAGGGCATATATAGTATCACTCTATCAAACATTTTTTAATCTGTAGCTCTGCTCTAAAAGAACGTACGTACCTGGGCTCGCCTACTATCCTTGGAAAGGTAAAATGATTGGCTAGAATCCAAAGTGTGTGACATCTCAGGAAACAAAAAGCACCGAAATGTGCGCTGCTTTTCGGTCTGGTTACTAACGTTTATGTCAGAACCGGTGCCGTAATGGCACCGGATACCGGTACCCATCCCTAATCATTAATCAGTCTCCTTCAAACACAGAAGAAAAATGGATGAGGTGTAATACATAAGTTAAAGTCACAGATTGGTCAAGATGACATTTCTCTTGAAACACATTTCAAACTCCACAGCCTCCCCTTACTAATGGGACACTTTCAGCCCACACCACAGAATAGCTGTCAGGCAGGGTGTGCCGTAATGATGCTGCTCTCGGTCACCAAATGTGTTGACGTGTTTGTTGTAATGGCCCTGTCGTCGCGCGTTACTGATATCTCTGTGCTCCCTCAGATCTTTCTATACGACTGCACTGAGGTGTCACCATTCTCACTGCTGTTCTTTGGAGGAGACATTACCATCCAAAAAGACGAGGACCAGGAAACCATCGCAGTGGACCAGTGGATTGTCTTTAGATCCCCTGCACGCATTGCTCACCTTGTTAAGGTAAACGACACACACATGCACATCAACAACACATCTGTCTTTTTGAAATTTCTTTTGTATTAATCTCTCCTTCCTGTCTGTCCTGCAGAGTTTAAAGAAAGAGCTGGATTCTCTGCTGCAGGACAAAATTTGTAATCCTGCTCCTGTAGACTGGCAAAACCGTCAATCCAAAGACTGTGCTGTGATCACAGCCATCATAGACCTCATCACGACCCAGGAGAAGCCCACAGGCAGCAGTAGGGGCTATGGCAGAACGTGGGCGTCGGCCTCAAGAGGAGAGCATGTTTACTTCAATGACGAAGATGATGACGATGATTAAAAGTGGATAGAGATTTGGCTGTCTCTGAAAAGAAGATGCCATGAAGTTACTGCCTGCGTCCTTGGACACAGGGTCTAGTTGGATTATTTATGATAACCAGCTGGCCTTCTTGATGGTTCTGCTTGATTGAAATTTTGCTGCTCCTGAAGGCCAAATACAGGCCACTGCTATTAAAAAGAAAGGCAAAAAAAAGGCCTGCATTTGATTCCCATAATTTTTTTTTTCACCTCTTAGATCAAAGGACCAGTCTTTCTCTGAATTCTTTCTGTAACTTTATCTTGTTAGTGAACCTCTTGTTTGGATAAGTTTATTTTCACCTGTTGCCACAGGCCTGTGCAATAAAGAGGTGGTGTACCATCATGCGGCTTAACTTCATCCGCCTTGCCGGGCTGAGATGTGGAAAATCTCAAATATTGCTGGTTTTACGATGAGAGAACATAATTTGTTCTGAGCTTTAAGATCATCTGGGTAATATGATATTTCACACCCTCGATTTAATAGCTCCAATCTGAGAAAGGTGCAAATGTCCAGAGGATTTATCTGATTATCCTTCATTAAATGTTCAGAAAGAATGTAATTTATTGTCCCAAGTTTTATTCCTAGAGTGGTCTCTGCTGATGTGTAAAAAAAGAAAAAGAAAAAAGTCATTGATCAGACTAAATGATGGGCAATTCAGCTTTTATTAGGAGTTGCTGATTAAAAATATAGAAGGCTGAATAATCAAGTTGCTTCAATATAATCTGTATTTACGAAAACATACATTACACATTTTAAGCCGTTTTACATATTTACATGTACAAAGGTAATTTACACTAGATACAAGAGAGGAAATGACTTAAACAAGACCGGCTCATGTGTGTGGTGCCAAAGCTAATGTTCCCTGAGAGCAAATGCAAAGCTGTTCTCTTTGAAAGTCTGGATACTTGTGTCCTTCCTCATGGCAGCACTGCCGACCGCCATAGCTTGGTTCGTGTGGCTCAACAGTTATGGTTGTCATTTGGACTGAGTCCAGAGCAGTTGGCTTGATAGATGGTGTTATCTTCATCCTTTGACCAAGTCATTTTTCTTCTTTAGCTGGGCAACACTAAAAAGATGACTCATGCTGGGCAATACCATTAAGAGCAGGGCTGTTCTCTATCTTCCGATCTTGCCATCAGCACACAAAATTAATTTTACCATCCTTCTATAACACAATAAATATGAAGGGGTGGGAGGGTGTACACCCAATATCAGTGCCAGTCCACGCCATTAAAGCCACCTGTCTAATACTGTGTTATACCACATACTTAAACTACTCTTTGGGCAGTTTAAGTATGTGTCAAAGCAACACCTATATGAATGCCACAGACAGCTCAAGATGATTTTAAAGTTGTAGCTGGCTGCTGCATATACCTGTGTCTGAGACCGATCTTGTGTATTTGTGCTTGTAAAATATTTCAAACAATCAAAATCATTGAGTGAATGGAGCGTCTAATAATATTTGTGACATGAATGAATCATTGATTCATGATGGTGGCATTAACAGGAGACAAGAGGGTAGACAGACTACCTTCTGTTATGCACTTAACCCATAAGAGAGAGGAGATTATATACAGTTTACTTTGTTTTCAATATAATCCAGAAAAAAAAAGAAAATGGATTCTGCTATTTACACAAAGTGCCTTAAGCTTCAGACAAATAGCCCGTCTCTCTTTTGCAGCTCAACGTACACCACTTTGTATTCTGTTGCAAATATTGTCATAGTTTCACATGCCATCAGAGGCTGATTAAACACTCACAGGAGTTTCCACATTAACCCACACACTTTACATAAGCTGCCAATCACACCCTCCTTCCTTATTATCACTTTCACAATCAACAAGATGCTGGCAAAGCTTCAATCACATGGCCTGAGAAGCCTCATTAACAGAGCGCATGCCAAGCTGTTGTTAGTTTCACACAATTTAGCCTGTTTTACCTCTTACAGTATTACTGTACTCTCATTTTAATTGCACATTATAAAGCGTATTCTTTGTAAATGAACAACAACAAAAAAAAGCATTTACAAATTTCATACCAGCTATTGCTGTGTGGTAGGGTGCTAAAAAAGCAGTGACTTTGGCTGTGGGTGTGAAGTTTTACTAACCAGGCTAGGGAATTAATCAGTGTGACAGATCCCACTGTCAAAATGTCCCACCTGCACAGAGACAAATCAGTTATTAGGGAAATCCGTCTTCCACGTGTTTGTTTTTAGTCTTTCCTTTGAAACTTAGACAGTGTGGCTGATATTTATTGATGATTGTGGCTCCATCTTTATTCCACTGTGAGGGCCTAGCAGCCGCAAGGCTCTCATAGATGTCCAGTTGTCCCCTGGAGACAGGTCAGTGGTATGGTTATTGAACTCATTCGTCTGAGTTCAGTGCTTAAAAAGGCAGGTCACTGGTGTGTTGAGGGTTCACTAATGGCCAGGGAAAAGCCCCATGTAGGTTAAGCAGTCTGCTCATCGTCCTGTCACACATTAGTCTCAAGGCCCTGCAGGCGGTCCATTCTCTGCATGTTGCGTTCAATAGTGGCCTGGCATGTAATTGGTTCAGCACACTCGCTTAGAAACCATCCCCTCTCTCCATCACGCAGCCGCTCGCCTTCGTACCAGCCTAAGAAGAGAAACTGGCTTTAAATGAAAACAGAAGAATGTGTTGTGTGGTACTTTATGCTTTTACTGGCTCTTCTTTTTTGGTTCTGTCTGTTATTTAATGTGAAAAAGGCTTCCATGTGTTTGCACAGATGTGAAACCACATCTTCAAACAGGTATCAGATCCATTATGTGGAAAAAGTAAATGCAGACTTTGAAAGAGAGATGGAGAGTATGTAAAAGTAAATGATGAAAGGAAACCGTTGAAACAGGAAGGTGGAAAATGAGAGGAATATTAAAGAGTATGAGTGAGGATATATGAAGATATGAGGGAGGCAGAGAGAGCTGACATACCATCTTCTACAGTCTGCCAGACAAGCACCACATCAGCCACCTGCAGAGACAACTCGTCTGGCTGCCTGGCGGTGTAAGTTCTGATCATCTCCACCTGCATGAGATCTGAAAGAGCACATCTGAATCATTTTAGAGAAGTCACACTGGCACTTTAAATATCTTTTGACAGGCTAATTTCAACCAACTCAGCATGAGGAAACTGTTTCAACTCATAACCACAAGGTGGCGCAACAGGCTAAATAGAAAAGTCAGGACAGAGCGTCCATGTGAATTATGTGTTGTGGAAACTCACTGGTTCGGTCCTGAGTCTTCTTATTGTTGTCATTATTGTTCAGAGCACTGATCCACCGAGCACGCTCATTCCTGAAAGAAAACGTAATGGCACATGAGGAACTATTAAAGGACTTTATAGTGTTCCCAAAGTTTAATAACACCACAACTCTCAAAATTTTGCTCTACTATGGGAGTTCCTCGCTGCTTTAATTTCAGTCGAAGATGCTTTATTGTTCAGATTTTGTATCATAGATACAAAGGGCGGTCAGAATCAACTTAAAGAAAATAAAATGAGGTGGAGTTGCACGCAAACAGCTTTACAGGCTAGTGTGAGCCGCACAGGAAGCTTAGTGTTCCCTCGCTATCCTCTGTCCCATGTTATTGAGAGGGCACAGAGGTGTGTTTTGTAGTCAGAGGGAACTGAAGGGAACAAGCACAAAGGCTTGTTCTCAGAAAAGAACTGCCCTGCTTTGCTTTGCTTTTTTTCTTTCTTGTTTGAGTTTCACAGCGAGGAAAAGTGGGCGGAGTTGCACAGATCAGGTTCCATGAAAATCCACCTCTCATTTCACCTGTTCTAAAGGATTTGGAAAGGGAGAGAGGATGAGATAAAGAAGCCTACGGAAATGAACCTGCGGGGGTTTGCTGAGGCCCTCTGTGACTCAGCACTGCTGGCCCTGGATCTTGCAGATGAGAACAAAATGCACAATTGTATGGACCCTCTTCACAGGGGCCTCAAACGGGACGTGAAGAGACGAAGCCCATGAGTCAGACATCATTACTGCATTTCAATCTGTTCTGGTTCTTTTCAGGGGGGAAATATCTTGGCCATGTCAACAACTAACTTGACAATGATATAGGTCAGTAGAGATTGGATAACAATTACTTTTAATAAAATCGTGAAATTAAAAGAACGGGGCGTACCCACACTGCAATATCAATGCCTGTCACACGGTGTGACCTTTGGATTTGGTGGATACATTTCATAACGATCAACTGTTGAACCAATCACCTCTCTTTATCACCTGTCGGTGTGCTTGAAAGCAACCCTGCATTTTTGTCACTTGATGGCCTTTTTAAAAATAGGACAGAGTTTTGCCTTTGTTCATTTCTGTGCTAAAGATGCAGGTTCTTTACATTCATTCGAGCTGCTCTGTGGGGAAAGACAGCTGTTAGTTGTTGCTTCTGACAGCTGGAGGTGCATGCCAGATACAGATACATGTGTGCAAACAATCACAGCAAGTCACCTCGCACTAAAGCTGCTGAGATGCCTGTTTGAACCCACTTTCATTTATGGGTTCAAATATAACAAGCACAGGCTCTAGGCGAGCATCATAAATCCAGAGGACTTTGTTTCACTCCTTTTCCATTGTAAAATGTCTTTACATATTACAGATAAGAAGAAATGACTTTCTAATCTTCCATCCCCTGACAACTTCAGCAGCACGCTACTGCTTTTCATCTTTACATCTTCTTTCCTTCCTGTCAGTTTGTTTACTCCGATCGCTCCTGTTCCCACCCTTAACTGACAGTATTTGGGTACAATTCCTACTTCTCAGACTGAAACGCGGCATATCTCAGCACGGAGCAACGCAGCCAGGGAATTTCCCAAACCAAGGGGAACAATCTGCAACTACTTTTTTTTTCTTCATTATTATCACTTAAAATGAAAGTAGAAAGAGTAAGAAAACCAGAGTGCAACAGGAATACAGTCTCTGGTAGAGACCGTCACATAATCTCTGCTGCTTTGTGTTGTAGCTGCATATCTGACAAGCAGAACTGTTTTGCTGCAGACCTCTGTAGCGTCTCTGTTTCACTAATAGAGAAGAGCTATTCACTGACGACGAGACACAGCATCAAGGTCATGGGAAAGACACGTTGACATGAGCACAGCAAACAAAAGGATACACAGAAAAGAAAAGAAAAGGAAGAGGGCACAGACAGAGAAGAGGAGAATCATAAACACTGCCACAGACAGCAAAACAAGCCACACTGAGGTCCCTGTGCCATCTCAAATCCAGCTGTCTGTGTGAATTCCTGATGCATTACATCGCTGCTAAGGTTAGAGGTCATTGTGTTGTATGTAAGCTTCTTAGACCTTGCACAAAATACTCAAATTAAACTAAGGCATCAGCTTAAAAGGTCGGCAGGTAGAGAAAAAATGAACTGAAAGCAGAAATAACCACACTGACAATAACAGTCCATTTCCACAGTTTCATTTCAACAAAAACAGACCTGCCTCGAGTCAGAATGTGTGGAATTTCCCTTTGGAATATGGAGAATATAGAGAAGGGTTTTTTCTTTTTGTTTTTTTTAATGTTTGTATATTTGTGTTAACACTCATTAACAGATAAATCATGCACAGACCTGCATTTTGTCGTTAGCACTTTTGTGACAGTGACAGGAAAAGCAAATCAAGTCCCTGCCCCACCCTATCCAGTTAGCAGCGGCATGTCTAGGCTTTCACTTTGGAAAGATTAAAAAACATGATTGGGACCAACCTCATCCAATACGTGTAAACGATGTATGCAAATTATTTGATTGCACTGCCTCTTTAAGAAACTGCCTCGTACCTTGCTAATTATTGTATAATATTTCATTATGTCAGTCATGTGAGTGAGAGCCACAAAAGAAAAATGTACACATCGACCTGTTTTAGTGTTTGCATTCAATCTGCTCAAAAGATGGTGACTTATGTTGGAAGATGTCATTTTCATAGTGGTTGTTTTATTTTGATACTGCGGCATAATATTGTGTGTAATATTAGGACATTTAGTCAGCTATGATGGAGGGAACAAATGTTTAAACTGAACAAAAATGCTTTTTGGGGCTCTTCCTGTGCTGCTTTGTATCCAGTATGAAATGAATAGTGGATGCTTCATCTTTTCTTATTGCATTCACAGGCTGCACAAACTGGCATGCAGGCTACTCGATGAGAACCTAAAACTGTTTTTTGTCATGCAAATAATGTCAGAATTTTATTTAAATGGAACATTTTCACAATTTTACGTCATTTAACCGAGTCTTATAGATAAACTAGTACTTTCAAAAAGTTTCTGCATTACTGTTCACCAAAATGAAGATCAAGTCACCCGGGTGAACAGAATTATCGAACAATATTTTATGGACTTGTGTTTAAAATTTTTATAAAAGTGGTTAAGTTTATATTCTGAGATCCTGTAGTCATGTTAATGTCCACTGTGACACCAGTTTCCGAGGCCCAGCATCTATTTATCTGTCTTATTTGCTTCATTTAGCTCGTAAACAGGCTGGCTAATGAAACAACACTGTGTGTCAGGCTGGGTTAAATCGCCAAATTGGGATGAATGAATGGAGGAAAAGGAATTTATCCACTGATTTAAAAACAAAACAAAGCGAAGACATTGGCTGCTGTTGAAGTGATGAGACAGGACGGTGAGGAAGAATCGGGAAGAGTTAAGTTGCAGGCAGGGGGAAGGATAGTCGTGGGAAAAAGCCCGCTTGGCAGTGGATTGTTGCTAGGCAACAACTTCAACAATGACTAGAAACCACTGTAACAATGGACAGTTGCCAGGGTGCCCCCCCCACCTCCTCTCTTCTTAGCTCATTCAGGACTACAGTGAGTGAAGCGCTGACCCTCCACATACATACCCACACATCTCATCATCTGAGCCAAGGGCCCCAAATACATCAAAAAGGGAGTCTAGGGGGTTTCCGCAACAAGCTATACTACATAGAGGAGGCACTCAGATTGGGTGGGGGATCACAATTATGCATGCCAGAGTAGTAGGTCAAGGCATCAGCAGGCGGTGCATTTAAGGAAGTCCACTGAATCTGCCTCCCGTGCATTCACACATAGTACTATTACATAATACTACTGCAGATACTTTGCCAGGTTTTTGCACTTAGTAAAAGTGCAGAAACAAATCATTTAAAATGAAGGCTTTTGTTTTAATGACGTACTGTGTGAGGTGTCGTGTTTTGGAAGCAGTCGTTTTTATTACCCAATAATCTGTTGAATATTTTCTTCATTAATCACATCATGTTTAGTCTGCAAAACGATGAGCCGAGTTAACAAGTTTGTGCTCATTTGGAGATTATTCTCAAAATAGCATTTCAAGTTTAAAGTCATTACAGTTGCTGCTGTACGTACAAAACTCCTTCTGTAGATGGAGTTGGTAAAATATGTCGACCAACTTTTCAAAAGATATATCCTCTTGACTCCATGAGGATATAAAAAAATAAAAATTAAAAACTCAGTATCGTTGCATCTGTCCACTGCCAGCCATTTTATTTTGCACTTCCAAATTTGTGTTGTTTTTCCTGCTGACTTGATGCAGCTTTCTGCACCATATCTCCAACGTCCTTACACTTATCACCACACTGTGTTTATGTGCTTAAAGAGAAATTATTTCCTCGTTACTAAAACTGGTTTATGAAGCACTGATTTCAGTAACTACTCTAAACGAGGCATTTTGTAGAGAGTTTAAGCTTTGGGAGTTGTTTGACTTGAAACGACCACTTTAATCTCCATATTTCAACTTTATTCTGAAACTGATCGATGTGTTTTTCTTAATTTGGCACTATTACCTCTTCTTAGACATTTGCCTCCCATACAATAATTAATAAAGGCTCAAACTATCACTGAAACTAACAGAAACTAAGCTAAAACTAAACATTTTGAAACAGTAAAAAATTAACTGAAACAAGCAAAGTTACTCTGGAAAAACTGAAATTAAAGTGAAAGCAAAAAGTCAAAAGGAAATAAAATAAAACCAGACCGGTCTCTCACATATGGATGCTTAAAGCACTTGTCATTTTAAAATTCGCTTGGTTAATGTTTTGCCGATAACAGTCATTATGAATTACTTTTAAGAACCTAAACCAATGTTTGGTGGGGAAACAGGCTCCTGGTAGACAAATTTTTGACTTGCAACTGCCACCCCCCAAACCTCTTAATGAGGACTTTAGAGAGAATTGTTATCGCTCTGCTTCTAAGATTACAGCCGGTACGTCAGTGACACCTTGTGTGCATGCCTCTGATGCAAGAGGTGTCGGCAGTTCGGCAGAATCTGCTACCCTGAGCTGAGAATGGTATTAGGGTGGGGTTGTAACTTTAGAAATAACCAAAAAACACTCATCCAGTGTGAAAACAGATTCATTTTCTGTAGGTCATCTAACCCTGGAACTTTAAACCCTCGCACTTATTTGCCTGTACTGGCCAACTTCCATCAGGACTGAAAAATAACTATTAATCTTTTGAATGCTTGACTTGATGGCTTGCTGTAAGGTATCCATGTTTAGTTATTGCTGACTAAATCCAGGTTTAAACATGTAGTATTTTTATCAATAAAATGTAATTGCACACCTGTAGTCACCAAAACAAGGCAATAATATTATAAACAGTAAACGGTACAAGTCGAAAGACATTTTTAAGGTTGCAATTTGCAGTGTAGACGTGCCATATACACAGCCTACACAGAGAAACCACAGCTTCTGTAAAGGCAACAGACAGGGAGGTTCTCTAACTACACAGGAATGAGGGGGAACCGGCCCCGTACATATGAAAACACTCCTTACAGTATCAAACCACAGCAACAAGATGCGTGCGCAAACGCCTGTGCATTCATCGAAGTGCGCATGTGTGCATAAGCTGCAGCTCCCAGTACTCAAAAGAACAAATAAACCTTGCAGGAAGCCCAGTGCATAGCTGATCCCTTTTGTTTGTGTGGGTTATACAAGCAGCCTTTAAATATTTTTGTTGTACTAAGACACAGAATCCAAAGCTCCAGCTACACTGACTGTATTTGTGAGTAAATATTTAAGTGGCACATGCGACAAATTTCTGAACCAACCCCTTAGACTATAAATAAAGAGAGCCGCTTCTATTTAGAATACATGATTGTTTTGTTGACTTTATTCCAACCCAATCATCTGATACAGCCGGTCTGTTTCAGAGTACAACTCCAGACAGTACGACTGTATAATGGAACAGCAGACTTTATTTAACAGTGCGCCCATCTCTTCCTTAAGTAACAAAATATCCCTGTGACTTGTAATGGTGCAAAAAGAGACTATAAAATAAGAACCATGAATCTTCTTTGCTTGAAGTTAAAAGGTGTATTGGAGCACATACAGAAAAGATAAGGGAGCAGAAATTTGATCCAAGCTCCCTCGCAGAGAAGAGTAGACATGCTGGTCTTAAAATTTTAAGAGATTGAGCCTTATTGTGTGGTTCAAAGTGAAATCACACGACTACTCTAGTTTCCCAAAATGATGATAGAATACACATGAGTGTTTTAATGAGAGTCAAAAATGACTCATAGTTCCTTATCGCCATGCCTCATAAATCTGTGACAAGTGAAATGCAAGTGAAACGAAAACAGCACATTTAAGAGGGACAAAGGTTACAAAAAAAAGCACTTACAGCAACTCTGTTCCAACGATCATGGTCACCTTGTCACCAGAGCAGTTGCTAGGGAAACTCAGTCGAAAGAGGTGGTTGGCGCCAGCTTGCCGTGAGCTCAGCATGCTGGTGGTGCTTCTGATCGGTGACCGGTTGAAATCGCTGGGTTGACAAAAATCCACACTGATCTGATTCCTCAGAGCGTAGTCTATGACAGTGTAACTGTCCTCACTGACAAGAAAGACAACAAAGTGATCATTGCATGAAAATTCAGTGTACTTAGTCCACATCACTTACAAAGCAAGCCATACAATTCTATGAATCATGAAGTGGGAAAGACTGTACTATGGTATTTAATGAAGAAAATGTTCAATTATCCCTCAGATTTGGTTCCAATCAAAAGTCCAAATGTGCAACTGTCTATATATCCTACGACTGCACTCTGTTTTTGCTTGTTTAACTGCATGCCTACATTTCCCACGACTTTTTCAAAAAATCTAGTAGCAGCTGCAGTTGGTCAGAAACATCTGGAGCTGATTGTGAAACACTGCACCCCTGACATGGCACTGAACCTGAAGAGAAAGAGTGTGTGTGTGTGTGTGTGTGTGTGTGTGTGTGTGTGTGTGTGTGTGTGTGTGTGTGTGTGTGTGTGTGTGTGTGTGTGTTCATAGTGTTAAGCAGCTGAAGTCCAGCTCATGTTTTATCAACCTGAGACTGAAACAGCAGCCAAGCCGAGAAGCTACTGGACAGCAGCTAGCTTGTGCATTACATAAACAGATGCCAGCAGTGAGCACGTCTGACTTATACATGATGTAAAGTGAGTGCCAAAGCCAAGCAGCAGAGGCATGCTCCATGGATTTTCCACACAAAACTCTGAAACTCACGGTTGTGACTTCTTTGAGAATCCAGTCATGGTTGGGAGGCTCACAAGGTTTAACCGACACCTACTCTCCAACTATCACCCACAAGTTAAAACCTTTTTCCCCACTACGTAACACTTCTTGGAAGAGGTAGCTTTAAGAGACACTGCACTGTGTGTCTGTGTATAAGATGGATGTAAGACAAGCACAAATCTAACTGTGACTAGACACTTCTCACAACTTCTTAAAGGAGTTGTTTAAAGGAATAATAATAATAATAATAATATGATACCCACGGGAAATTTGCATTCCTGCAGATTTAGAATGCAATTCGTGTCTATAGAATGGTGTTAGTTAGCTTAGCTTAACAAAAGACTGAAAATGAACTAATAAAAGTCAACTTTTCATGATTACTGGTTAGATTTTTCATACTTGTCAGATATTGAAAAATAAAATGTTCTCTGCTGAGCATTAGAGGTATAATTCGAGTGATTACAAAAGCAGGATAATCATCTACCATTATGTTGAGTTACCCTAAACAGTCCATTTATCGTTCCAGATTCAAAATGTGCATTTTACCAAAACCTATTTTTAACTATGTAATGTCAGTTTTAACCTCTGTTATCTCCTATGCTCATTGAGGAATGGAGATTATATTTGAGGAAGTCAGACTGCCACTGTTGACAGTGACAGGCCTGCTGCCCTTCACGACTGAAGGAACAGGAATTATGTCAATATTTCTGCTTTGCCTGCATTATTATATTATATTATATTATATACTCTATTTATCTAAAAAAAAAAATGCTTTTCCTGAGCTCTCTGAACATGCACATTAATTGTCATTTCAACACTTATCCAGGAATGGGGATATGACCAAATGCAACAAATAGAAGCAGGAAAGTGTTACTGATAAGAGAAAAGTAGGAAAAGGAAGAGAACCCTAGAGGGACAGACAAAGAGTGACAGGATGGAGGCAACAGAGGTGTGTCTGTGTGTGTTTGTGCGTGCGTGCGTGCGTGCTTCAGCAAATTTTCCAGTTATTATAAGATATTTTGAACCCTTTATCGTAAAGCTATATTGTGACAGTTATTTCTCAAGAAGGTCTGGTGCTCTCCATTTAGAGCTATTCTGTGTACGTGTATGAACACATTCCTGTATGTGTGTAATTTTTAAAGAAAAAAAAATTGAGCATCAAAACAAGCTGATAAAGGCCCACCAAACATTTGTTCCCAGCTGTCTGTAACTTGTAACGTGATCTGGGCATGCCTATGGGCAGAATGGATAACGGAAATAACAAACGTCTTTCAATTCCTACACAGATTTTTTTTTCGTATGTAAGGGTAAAGCCTTTGAATTCCACTCAGCTGACAAACAAGTTAAGCTGCATTTCACTTTATCTTTTTTTTGGGCTGAAAAATTAAATCGATGAATTTAATCACCTAAAACAATCTAAGATAATCTTCAAATGTGACCATTAATTGCAATTAGAGATACTAAAATAGTGTTTGGAATTTGAATCTCTTCAAACACACAAAAATGAAGCGTTAACAAGATAAAACATCAAACACGCCATTAACATCATTAGCTTTTTGGCTCCTGACTGACCTACAGGTGAAATGCCTGGAATGCCATTGACATCATGACACTGGGAATGCGATGGGTGGGGAAACTGCATGCTTGAGGTTTGAGTTTTTTTGCATGTGTGTCAGATCATTGCCAAATGGCAGATGAATTGAGGTGGGGAATCGCCGTGATATGCTTTGTCAACATGTGGGAGAGAAACGTTAAATTCTTAAACAATTTTATAAAGAAAACCCAAGTTGTGGCTTTCCTTTTCCTGGACACCCACACACACACCCACACCCACACACACACACACACACACACACACACACACCCCCTTCTAGTAGCAAGAAAAATTCCTTATCACAGCTGTAATAAAGAACAAACAGTTCAAGAAACAAGCAAAACTAATATAAACCTTTAAAGACATGTTGAGATAGAACTCCATGTAAATGGATACGTGCCCACACACAAAATAAAGAGTATAATGCTGAAAGCTGAGCCTATGACCCAAAAAAAAAGGAGAATAGACTAGACACAGGCACATACAGCAAAAAACACAAACAAACCATAAGATCAAGAGGAAAAGAATGAGAGAAAAAAAGCAAAAATAAAAAGAATAGATGGAAATCTCAACATGAATTAATGTTTAGATGATGCCCAGCATTTACACAGGAACATGGGGGGGATGAGAACGAAGCCAGCTGGAGTGTTATGTAAGTGTTCCTGCGAGCCAGAGTCCAGCAGAGCAACACTTTACCAGTGCATGACACAAGGCCCAGCCTGACAAAGGGATGGTCCATAGTTTAAAGTCAATAAAACAAGAAGATTGTCTCGTCTCTTCTTAATGGCTATATTGTCCTCTCCATTACAGATTTAGCAGTGGGTGATGTACAAAAACAACTAACTTTTTTCAGATATCATGTTTTATGTGTGGAACTGTACAAATCTAAGATGATTATAAAAATAATAGTGAACATCGGTAAGCACACAGCATACTAAAAACTTACAAACAGCTTAGTTACTTTTGAATACATGGAGTCAAATGACAGGCAAACAGATTTAGCCTTTCTTTCTTCAGATAGCACAGGGTTATATATACACTCTCAAATGGCTCTAAGGTCATGCCTATGCTTTCTCTAGCCTACTGTGTAAGTAAGTGCTTTGGCTCTGACCTTTTCACCCCTTTCTTGTGGTTTTGACAGAATCCTAAAAATGTTAAAGTGAGACAAGACTGAACTTGCAAAATATACCACTCAAACTATAAGTCTTAATTTCAACAGAAAAGGCCATTCTGCCATTATACCTACAAGCGCTTGTGATCTAGGAGTGCCTGGATAGCCTTGTGTGCCCCTGGTGAGCTTTTGTTTGGATTACTGCAGATGGAGTGCAGCAGAGTAGCGTGCCACAGCTGGACTTCAGCGCTCTCCACAGTACAAACCAATATTATAACAGCTTCCCCCATCCAAACGTACGCACACACATAAATACACACTGTGATTCCGGAGCCCTCCCTTTTCCCGAATCCGTCTTCCAAACACAGGCTTGACACCACACACTGCTGGAGTCTGCCGTGGCAGATCAGATTCCCAGAAAAATATCATATGGAACGTTTCTTTTCTTTTATACAGTTCTGAGGAATTCTTAGTCTGCGAGTGGCGGGATTATTACTTCCAGACACTAAGGAGATGGCCGGGAATTTTTGTTTTGGCAAAAACAGACAAGCAGGCGCACGCATGCACACACAAACACACAAATGAAAGTCATATCAAGGATGTCCTCTTTATAGCTTTTCTTTTTCTTTTCTTTTCTCCATGGTATTGCCTAAAACTAGAGGAAATAGGGGAAGAGGAAAGCAGACTCACTGACGGGTCTGACAATAGAGCAGGTTTCACAGCTCCAGGTGATTCATGGCAACAAGACATGTCAAGAGCCAAAAAACCTCTCATAGTGCCAAATAGCAACAGGTTCAGGTATCTGCACCTGATCTACCTAAAAACACACGTGATAATGTTGCCAGGGTGGAAGTGCAGTCTACATCTGCGGTGGCATCAAACTCCTTTAACGGTCTCTAAACCCTGCTACCAACACTTCTCGTGGTTTGCTTTCGGTTTGCACAGAAATATTGTTTTGCTTTGTTTTGTTTTTTTAAACAGGCTCATTTCCCAGGACGAGTTCAAACATGACGACAGAGAAGACAAATCTACACACCCTGCACTCAGGATCTCGGTCACATACAGTGCTCACACGCAGTGAAAACCTGAAGACTTACGGTTAAACTTTCACACTCAACATGCCACGACATGTGAATTATGAGCAGAGCCAGCAGACCAAGCTCAAACTCACACCAAGTAAATCAGATGCAGACCCTCCCATGCATGGCCTGGCAGTTCTCTACAACTTCGACGAGACTCACCTTTTCTTCCTGGTGACAATGAGGACGTCATTGAAGAGGAAGAAATAGACCTGCTGCCGTGATGTTCGCTTGTAAAAGATGTTGTTGTCCACAAATGCAGTCAGTTCCCCTCTTTTTACCATCCACCTGGAGGATGAGACCAGGGGGAAAGGCTAGAGGAGCATAAGAAAGAAAATATGGTGAACAGGGGAAGATGGTGAATCTAATTAATCAAAGAAATTTTAAAATGTCTGTAATGTTGGGGATGAACAGCTGGAGAATGAAAAACGGTTCACTAGGCATCCGTGCGCTCCAAATGTGCCAACAGCAATTTCCCACATGGCTTACGCACACTTAAACCTACCAAACCCCGTGTTTACTGTCGATACTCATGACAATACAGGGGTGAGTTCTTCTTTTTGACAGATACGTGTACATACGTGTTAGCATGCACCACTTGCTAAATATGATCAGCAGATGTGGCCTATTAGCATTAAAACTGACTGTGATACACTTAGCATACAACTCTATACAAAAACATGGTGGGTTAACACTACCACCTCACAGTGAGAGGTACATGAGTCAAACCCAGGCAGAGCTGTTCTGTGTGGAGTTTGTATGTTTTTCACAAGCCTGCACGAATTTTCTCTAGAAACTCCACTTTGTCACGCCATCAAAACACATGTTATGTTAATGAAGCCTAACTGGGACAAGCACACTGTTACAGTTAAGGGTGACAGACTAGCTCTTTCCTCATGTTATTTCCCTGCAGTCTCCCATAACAGGAAAGCCTCAGTGAGATGTGTTATCATTGACCAGTTAGTCTTGTGGTTAGTCAGCCAGGTTTTCTTGAATGTGGTGGAGAACATAGGAGCAGATAATGTCATGGGAGTCTTTCCAGAGGGTTGCCGTTCCCTAACTGCCTTTGAACTCTAGTGATATCGGTGCATACACATCCATCACCAGTATCTGTTTAACCCTAGAACTACTAGGGAGGGTCATTTTGACCCCATGCTGCAACAATAGCAGTAGGAATTTCTTGAAGAAAGTAAGTTGTAAATTTTTCTCAAATTTTTCCACAGTGTGCATCCCTTTACCTCCTCACACCTGAAACCCATTTGACTCAGCTGGTCTGCTGCAGATTTCACCGTTCGCTTACTTGGATTAGTTCTCCACACTCTGTACTCTGCTCCGTTCAGCTAAAGTTGCCGTAATGCTTTTCACAGCCAGCAACTCATCCAGTTGTCCACGGGTCCGTCCTCCACTCTGCCACGGCTCAATAACCATCCCCGACCCATTCAGCTCTGCGATAATTACTTGCCTTTTATCTAACTACAGTTCCCTTTATATTCCTCTAGCAACCTTATCTAGCTAGCTCTAGCAGCCTTCATAACAAAGTGTATGAATGATATGTCTGTTGCTAGGCAACCAAGCCCGAAGCAATTAAAAAAAATGTATCTTTCAGCAGTTGAAGGTATAATTTTTCTAAACTTTTATTTTCTCTTTTATCCAACTTACTTCAGAATTCACTATGTGATGAACAAACCTGTTGTACACGTACAATGACAATAAAGGGCTATTCTATTATTGTCATTTGTTAATCAAAAATATTTTTGCTTGCCAAAAAACTGAAAAAACCCACATACCTTAATCTTGAACTCCAGTTGAGAGTTGATGGTGTACATCATTTCTGTTCTCTCCATCGTCCGAGCTCCTTCATTGCACTTTCTAACCACCTATTAATGCACACACACATAAAATGTGTAAAAACGTCAACATGCAGGCACTCTGCTTGTCATTTCATATCCACATATCAAAATTAAGAGTACAAGAAAGCTAGATTAGCTTTTTTTGCATAGTAATTAATCATTTCCTGTTGTGGCTCACAGTGATACAACAGAACAGGAACTGTTACTCTAGTTTTACAAACTAATTGTCTAAATAATAACCGTACGTCAATAATAATTTTGTTAAATAATTTAACAAAGGTGCAAGCCATTAACATTGAACTTTTGTTTAACAGTGCCCTCACCTTGCTAACTGCTTGTAAAGCCTTCTTACAAGCTTCATATTGCGGTGAGTCTTTGGCTGTCTTCTGACAAATTGTCTGTAAAACATGGATTCACACAGGTTGTATAATTAAAAACACACATTAAAGTCATTAGTTCACAACAACCCACAACAGCTCACTGGACTCATGCACGTCACTCTCAGCAGCCTGATCACATATTGAAGCTGTGGGAAGAAATGAATGGAAACCAAACTTTCTCAGGATCCAAACCCTCCAAATGTAAAAGCATAAACCCAAGAGGTCCCTAAGGAGACAATGACGGAAGGAAGAGAAGAGGGGGATAAAAGCAGAACAAGCGAAAGGAAGAAAGGGAAGCAAAGCAAAAATGGAATAATGCTCTGCCAAAGTAAGCATGAAAGTGAAGAAGAAGAAAAACATTACAAATCAGTTAAGATTATTAAAGAATTATGTAAGGTCAAAGAAAGATCTTTAACACTAGAACAAACCATGTGTTGACTTAACAAGGGCAACACAGATAAACAAACTGTTGTGCAAGAGGCAGTCTTGTAATTCCTAAGCTAGCCCTGCTGTATGTTTTCAGTGCACTTACATCCATGAGCAAGGGAAGGCGAGTGATCCTCTGCATGGGCAGGATAAGGAAGGAGATCATGGGGAGGTTCCTGCAGTCAGGGTGGCCCTCTATCCTGGTCAGCACCTCCTTAAATGTTGGATTCTTGGAGCTGTATGGGAATAAGGAGGCAGATGCAGCACTGGGTGAAAAAAGTGAACTTGGTCGAGGCAAAAGTGGAACAGCCATGTTGGATCAAATCCACGAATGATAAGATAAGAGCATATATGTGTGTGATTGCTCGGTCACTCACACCAGCCTCTGCAGGGTCCTCTGTTGGTAGACCTCATTGGAACAGTATGTAATATATGGATCAAAGCTAGACTGGGAATGCTTGCAAACGATGTCAGTGATGTCATCGATCACTATATTCTGTTCATGTTTTTTCTCCAGTTCCTTGAAAAACCTAGACACCAAAGTGGAAGTGAAAGAATAAAGGTTAGTGTGACTCACTAACTTGAGTCATTCCCTACTGAGGAATAATATAGAATAGTAAAATGACAACGTCCGGTAGACAAGGAGAGCTGCCAACAACTTACTTCTAAAGTCACCATAAGATGACAAAAGAGGAACTCTCCACCACTTAAAATAGACATAGCAAGCCATTAGCCATAACACAGAGGCTTTTCCTCTTCCTGAGCAGCAGCAGATGGCCATTTCAAAAGGCATGCCACATGTCCAACTAAGGTGATAAACAGGAAACTTGCACAGACACAGGATGTGGACCTTGACCAAGCTGGAACAGGTTCCTGCTCATCTGCAGAAGCACCTCTAGAGCCTTTAACCAGACCCCCCATACCTACTCCACATACACACACACAGTGACTATCTATGGAAAAAAAAAACTTTTTGTGGCTATGTAGCCTTGTGCCCATGCCTGACCCAGTACGCTTAACCTTTTGATGAAGGCATGTGCACACGAGATAACAAAAAAGAAAGAAACACATGCTAATTCACATCCTAAACGATGTATTTGGGACATTTACAGGTCAAAGCTGTTCATTCTGAGGCAAAGCATCTCCTGATGGATGTCCTCAGGAGGATCGAGGTCACGGTAAATGAGTCAAATCAACAGTGTAAAATAATTTAATTATTCAAACTTAGACCTCTAATCGAGGATCATGAGTGAAGTCAAGTGAAATGAAATCTGGTCTACCTCCAAGTGCAGAAGAATTCCTCATTTTATACACTGCGTCACAGATGCTGCATTAGGAATACAGTCCGATTTATGAAATGTGGTGGGACTAAAGCATGTAATAGCCCAAGAACACAAGTCAAATATAATCAGTAACACATCTGCATATAAAATACACAACAGCCCTCCTACTTGCTATCACACACAGACTACACAGAAGGCTGAAAATAGATTGATATTCAGGTATGTTTTAAGATAATAACCTCAAAGCTGTTCCTAGTAAAGCATCTGGTTTAACCAGTGCTACAGGGCTCTGTGTATCTTAAGATCTGCCTTCCCAAGTATCAAGGGTAGTTTCTCATTACTGTGTCTGGCCTGTGTGTAAGATGATTCTCAAGAAATTCAAACATATTAGTATGATGTAAAAATATTGAGGAGGACGTATGCGTACTGGAGATGCACCAGGTATATGTGTACTATATACCAGGGGTGAAATCTTTCATGTAAAGTTGTAATCTTCATCAAATGTCATGAATAACTGGTAGTTTCTATGCATATGTGCACACACACATCTCACTGAGCAGTATTAAGATAATTTGGTTGTTTTTGCAACTTGAAAATTAAACATCAGGATTATCATATTCAAAATACTCTTGATTTTGAAGTGATTTACTTAAAAGTATTGTACATCTTGTGCTAATTGTGGTCTTAACCAAAGTGAAATCACATGTTTCTAAAACAGGTGAAGGAAGAAACAGGACTGCACTAAAAGTGAACAGTGATTTGAGAGAATTTTACCATCATATAGAAACACTGATGTGATAATATTAACAGGCTGAATTGCAGCTGAACGTTCAACCTTTGTCATATTGATATCATGGAAAGCGTCTAAGAAATGATGTCATATCTAAAAGTGGCCTCGGAGATAAACTCGAGGAAGAGCAACTGGCGGCCAGAAACTGCTCTGCCAATCATTCGTAGAAATAATGGAGTCGGATCCACCAGAGTAATTGCTGAGCCATCACAGTTTTCATCAGTCTCAGCTTTCATGGCCTCTCATGCATGATTGTTTCCATCACTTTATACGATTTTTGGAAGGTCATGCTACGTGGCCAGGAATGTTATTAAACAGTGAACTATAAAGTCATGATGGACAGGTAGCCTCAGAGGATCCATAGCAGCAATTTTTCATAGACGCATAAAAAAAACCCAGACATGCTGCCTGTTTCAGTGCTTTCAATCAGTGAGGAATGTTCACTTTAACAATGCAACCATAATTATGAGGAAGACTTCTTTGTTCCTTGTCGTTTCACTCAATTTGCCCCTTGCTTCTTCTCCATGTCTGCTTTTCGTCAATCAGCATGCGACTTCACTTACACTCGCATCCAGAAAAGAGCTCAGCGCAGCGTAAACACAAATCCTTTGACAATGAAAACAACCCTTACTGAAGGGAGGAGAGTAGCTGAAAGTCTGTATTAGCATACACTGGATAGTTAAGCATGCCAAATTATCCAGCTAATTAAGCAAAACCAAGGTGATGAAAGACACCTGAAGCCTAAAAATTAAACAACCAACCAATTCCCCTAAATCAGTGATGCCAAACTCTTTAAATCGTGGGCCACATGCAGCCTACTTTGATCTTAAGGGGGCCGGACCAGTGAAACTCCCCTTTGTATAAATGTAAAAACATTTAACAACACATTGAAAATCTTTCAGGAAAAGCAAGTGCAATTGCATGAATAAGTCTCAGTTTTTTTTTAACATGATAAAGAAATGCTGCTGTACTAAATGAAAGAAATCTGTCAGCAAGAATAAATAAATGTAAAATTACAGAGAAACTTCTGATAGCTCACCTGTAATCACAAAACTGAAGATTTTTGTGAATTCATAAAAAAAATGTACTTTTGTTTATTATTTATTTATTTTACTGTGGACCAATAATAATTCAGTTCAATTCAATTTTATTTATACAGTGCCAAATCACAACAACAGTCGCCTCAAGGCGCTTTATATTGTAAGGTAGATCGTACAATAATAGATTCAGAGAAAACCCAACACTCATATGACGCCCTATGAGCAAGCAAGTAGTAGTAGAAAAATATACATATTCTATAGTAGATAGAAGTGAAAAAACTGGAACTTTTATGGTATTTAATTGTTTATCTACTAATAAATTACTTTAGTGTAGTACAAATTACTATGGGGGGGTCTTTATCAGTAGGCCAAGCTGTAAAACAACTTAAAGTCTAAAATCTATGTCCTCCTTCACTTTTCCAAAGCCATTCAGTGGGCCGGACAGAAGTCTTTCCCAGGCCAATTCTGGCCCCTGTGTCTTATGTTTGATACGCCTGCTCTAAACCAACAAATTCTTTAAACCAACAGCATGACTACCAAATATGAAGACGAATAAAGGTGCTCATCTGATAACAAATGTACTTACAAAACAGCAACACTCACTTTTTGCTAGCCTCACAGACATCAGTGATATTGGAGAACAGGTGATGGTGTTCAGTCTTGGTCATGGTCTCCCTGAGCTCTGGAGAATCCTTGAACATGCGGATCAGGATCTCGAGACTGTGGAGATAGGAGTGCTCCGACGAGATCACCTCAAAAATGGCCTAAGGAGGAGCAAGAGACACATCAACCGAGAGGAAACATAAAAGTCAGATATATGGGATTCTGTCATCCTACTAGGTCCTGGTAACGATGACCCTGGGTTTCAATCACATGAGGTATGCGTTTAAACTAATTACACATCTAAGTACTTAAAGTATGAATCGGAAAAAATAACTTAAAATGAGCTAGAAAGAACGACTCGTACCTCTTGTCTTTTGCGTTCTTCTTGACTTATCTGCTCACACAGGCCACTTTTCTTAACCTAAACAGAACAATAAGTCAGAAACATTTCTTGCATCATTTTTGATAGACACTTGTTTAACTACATGCAATCAGAGCACAGGTGTAGGCTGTGGCTTTTTTTTTTTCATATCTAAGAAGCACAAAGAAAGGCAGTCTTTGCAAGAAACACTACAGGAGTATAGAAATTTGTTGGATCCAAACACTAAGATTAAACAGGAACCACTTCTGCTCATTTTGAAAGTGGAATATAGCTGAAAGGAAACTGCATTGGTATGTGGCTGGAGAGCTTTGGTCGAAAGATGTTTGAATGAGAATGAAACAAAGCAACGTTTTGAAAGGGACTGGGTGTGGAGTGCTATTGAATTAATCAGCCTGTGGCTTTGTCAAACTGAATATGAGGCTGAGTAATAAACACCTTCTTTCGTTACACCAGATTTAATCAATATGACCTGGGGCTCAACCACATTATACTTTACCGATACATGTAAGTAATGAAAAATCCTGAAGATAGTTTCCCTTATTTGCACTAGCTCCTCAACCCATTTTTGTGCAAAGCAATAAGGAAGAGATACTCCTGCAGGAGTATCTGCCCCGCAGCTCTCCAAACACTGAGAACAAATAAACCTGAAGCAGGTCAAACACACACTATTTGATTTCTTTCACACATACAGCCATCAGTGTTACTAGATATTGCTCCTACTTTCCTGGCAGCCCATTTTTGAATTGCTCTGTATGAGCAAAGAGGTTTTATCCAATTGAGCATCGTCCTTCTCTGGTTGAAATTGAGCATAATTAATCAGGTGTCATTATAAAATGGCAACTATTTATTCCTTTTTTCCACTTGATCAGGTTGCCTTCAGGTAATTTAGAAACAATTGCGCAAGTTAGCTCCAAAACAGCCGCACCTTCTGAAAGTGTGAATGGTAATTCTTAGAACCATGATAATTCTGGGATGTGACATTTCATCAAAAAGATGAGACACTGATAGTAGAAGGGTGGAGCTGCTCAGATTCAGGATTAAGCAAGAGTCACAAGATGACAACTTGTACATTCGGTTCTCGGCTCCACTGGAAAAAAAAAATTCCCGTCACACCAGGACAGTGACCAATCACACAAGTATTCCTGAATCTGTAGGGTGAAGAAAATTCTTCAGAACTAGATCACAGGCTGAAGGCTCTAACGCATTCACAAAGAAGAACAGCTGTAAAGCAGCTGTGATAGAAAGAACGCTTACTTTGCCAGAATCCTGGGCAGTCTGTGCCCAGTTCACTTTAGTGTCTGGCTGACATAAATATAAACAAAACAAAAAGTCTCTCTACAATGTTTTCAGCCTTCAGTCCAATCTCCTACTTATTATAGACCATGTGCAGACAGTACAATCCTCAATTCCTCAATCTGGGCTATGGCCTGCTTTTGCTCCCACACGTTCCATCTTCTACCAGTAAACAAACAGATGGGGCTGCATTAGTAGAAAGCTAAATTAGCCAATTCCCCTTATATTCCTCTGCTGCTCAATTCCAATCACTAACTACATTATGTAATGCAAAGCCACCACAACTCTCCCCGGAGGCAACATTTTAGGCATATTTGCAGTCTGACGAGCGTACAGAGTTTGCCAACACATTGGCATTAATCCCAGAAGTGCTTCCAAGACTTCCTGTGGGCCTGGCTGACTGTCTGACTCCCAGCCTGCACAAGCCCTTGACAAACTGCTCCTGTACTCCCTGATAAACAAAGTGAGGGGCAAAGGAAAGCAGAAAACAGTGGGAGGATGGGTACAGATGGTGGCCAAACTGGATATGACAGCATTCTTTGGAGCACTAGCATTCCAAAACTACACAACCACACTCCAAGATCCAGAAAGGATTTAAAATATAAGAGGAAGAACAGAGACTACTATTGTGCCTGTGTGTGTTATGTCTTACCACACTAAGCTGGCTCCAGGAGGTACGTATGGGCCTGTACTGCACTACAATGTTGTTATCGGGTTTGGGTTCCCTGGAATCGGGATCCTCATCTGAGTCATTATGTAATGCATTCTCCTTGTAGTTCTGGTAAAGCTCTTCCTCTGCAAAATCACAGGTTTTTTTTATTCTGATCTTTTATAGCAAAAATATAACACAGAAACGCAAACAGAATTTCTCACCCTCGCTGTCAAAAGTCAGCTGACTGGTCAAAACCTTCTTCTTATCTGGACTCTGAAACAGACAAAAAACAGCATAATGAGTTTAATGAACTCTGAAAAACCAAGTAGGGACACATGCAAACCATTAAAGAAAGAAACTTGTTTCACCTGTTCACTACCTGTCCGTACCCTTTTGCAAGTTGCCTCCTCCAGTGACCCCTGTCTAATTACAGAGCCTCAGTGTGTTTAAGTGTATGTGTCACGTTGCGTCATGTCTTCCATCAACCACATTAATCGTTTCTTTGTAAGGCCTTGTTCTAACCTCTGCGGCTGTTGCCACCAAGCTTGTTCCACTGTACTTTTACTGGTTGTGTTGTAATTTTCCAATTTGAGCTTTACCCCTCCCCCTTCCCCCAGATAACAAAAGTCCACCATGAAGCAATCTTTGTGCACAATTAAATATAAAACCATCAGAGGGATTGTTGCCGAGTTGAGAAATCTTAATGTGCTGCAGAACGGGGGGGAAAGTAATGCCAAAAGTTCACACAGTATTCATTGACAAATATCATTTGCTAAAGGCTTGCTTTTCTAAAATTGATCACTTATGGCACTTCTCTACAGCTTGTTCTCTGAAGTCACCTGAATATACTAAAATACACAATAATTCATTCTATTAATTATATTATATATAAACTTCATGTTTTTTCAACTGTTTTCTGAAAAAACAACACTGTTAAAATTAATTTCTAGATATTAAGACATTGATTCGAATATTAACATTTCTCCTACTCCCCTATAAGTGAATGACAAATGTGTTAAATATGTGCGATTTCTTAACACGTACAATTTGAACCCACTCTCTTCTTTGAAACTGATTTACTCACCTTGTTTTTCCCATTGCTTTTAGTCTTTTCCGTTCCAAGGCTAGGCTTTGAATTCTTGGTGCTGACATCTTTGGGTGTCATGGGGCTGTCAGGCTTGTTGGTTGCAACACTTGGCAGACTGATAGAGCCAGGACTTGTTGGGCTAACTAGTGAATCTAATTTATCCCTGCCTAGCCCTCTGATGACGGGCTGGGACAGCCGATGGCCTTTGGGATCTGCTGTTGATACTTCTGAGTCTACTCCACTCACAACTGCTCTCCTGTACGATGTACTCCTCAAGCCTCTTCTAAGAGCCCCTGGACTCTCACTTTCACCATCTTCCCCCTCATTGTGGCCTCCTGTAGAAAAGTAGCTTCCAGTTTCCACCATGCTCAGGGCTTTCAAGGAACGTTTGGAATGATCCCATCCCAGCAGCCCTGCCGATCCTTGAGCTTGTGTCCCAGGGGAAGGTGCCTTGCTTTGCCGAATATCGGATGCTAAGCCCTTGGGAATAAGCTGCTGGGTGCCCATCTTGAGAGCAGCCGCGCTATGGGTGCTTAGGACAATGCCGTTATAGGGACAGATGGATGGGGAGAGTGACGGTGAGGGTGATGTGGAGGACATGGAAGAAGATGAAGAGGTATGCCTGGTGTCCTGTGGGGATATAGGTGAGGATGACTGGGACTGACTGAGCAGTGCCTGCCCTCTGTCTTCTGGCGATGGAGATCGAGGGGTTGGGGGGTCTGAGGAGGTTAAGGAGTTGAGGGAGGGGATGCTGGAGGTGGAGCTGTAGGAGGGGGTGAGCATGCGATGGGTTGGAGGAGATGAGCTGCATGTGGATGAAAGGGAGGACAGTTCAGGTTGATTGTAGTTGTTGTTAGGAGTGTCTGGTGAAAAGACAGGTGAGGAACCATTAAGAGGAGTATTTTCTGTTGAAGGTGAATTCTTCTGAAATGCGATCTGGCCCTTCTGAGAACTCTGACTTAACGGACAGGACATGCATGTCTGTGAATCCCAGAGATGCTTTTCAGGCCATATCATCTCCCCATTACTCGCTTTCACCCCATCAGAGTTCCTATTATATACCCTATTGTCCAGTGAAGCAGATTTGCTATCCTCAGACCTAAATTTGGACAACAAGCGTCCATTGGAGAAGTGGCTGATGCTGATGCTTCGAACCACTCTGTTTTTCTTTGAGGGTTTATGTAAAACATGCTTTAACACCGCTGTGTTATTGTCAACACACTGGGGTGTGACCACAAGTCTCTCAGCAGGCTGGCTCAAGGTAAAGGAACATTTGTTGTCCTCCTCGGTGAAGTTTGTCTTCATGACCCCATTTATGTGGCAACTGTGGGGCCGCAGTTTAGGATTGCTTGAGTCCTGGGGCCTTTTACTGTTATCAGTGCGGAGTTTCCACAAAGGCATGATATTATTGTTGGACAAATCTACATCATTGCCATAATCCATGGTTGAAATGCGAGCGTCTCTTTTTCCCTATTCGTGTCCAACCTCACAAGCTCACGGAGTCGGGAGGAAAAAAAACCCTGAAAACAAACAAGAGAGAGATACCAATCAATATCAAAGAACTCAGTGTGGTGTCCAAATTCCCAGAGTTTAATCATTAACAGGGATTTAGTGCTGATACTGGCAGCTAAACTTAAAAAACACACATAAGCAAGCCAGTGAGGAGAGAAACAGCCCTTTTGTAAATGTTCACTGAGGTGAAATGCCCCAATTACAAGACAATGTTGCAATTAAACTACTATAAAAGGGCAACAATGTTAAGCAGCAGCAGTGCCTTTACAGACCACATTTGTTTTTAATCTTCTCAGAATCTTTATTCACAATTTTCTTTTTTTAACTGTGTTTTTCTGTCTGCAAAAATGCGTATAGCTATAAAGAGGCGTGTAACTGAGAGCTTTTCAGCGAGATTTTAAAAGATTTTTTCCACAGGTTAATTAGTGTCTCCAACTTACCTTTAATCAGTCGATCCAATGCAGAATCCGTTCATCCTCCCTGCCCTCTCGAGTGGCGGCCCTCTTTAGCGGAACTGATCAAATTAACGTGCTTTCAGCGCGGAATCAACAAAAGGTTTGTGAAACCGGAGTTACGAAAGTTACTAACCGACTCCCGTGCGGGGCACTGAACGCGTCTGAAGCGCTTCTGTGCGCGCTGGGGAGTTTCTATGACTGAGAGGAGGGGAAGGGAGGGGAGCAAGAACAGTAAGAAAAAAAAATGGCACTCCCAAGTTCACAGGAATTCACCTGCTAGGCGATTCATAACGATTCATACTACGGATCAGCAGAGACTTCCATGAAAGACAGACAGTGCGGTTTGATCGTAAACGTGAAAACATTCTGACAGTAAAGTAGCAGGAAACACTTTATATGAATCAAATAATAAAGCGTTGTTAGATTTTAAAAGGTTTTATTCAGCAAGCTCAATATGAAAAGAGGAGCAAACACGTTTGACAGCAGTATTTTCCTCTCTCTTTTTAAAGGAATCTATTTTGTATGTTTGGAACTGCTGCTTTTTGGAAATAAGGAGTCTAACGTCATTAACGAATGAAAAGTTTTGACGCTTTTTAAGCTTAAGAGTACATTCGGGGCCAGTCAAAAGATGTTGTTGCGTGACGTTAAAGGGAACAAAAACAAATCTAAATACCTAAAGCGCCGTATTACCTCTAAAGAGTGGAGTACGGAATGTGGCCACTGAAAGCATATAAACAACATTACCTGTTGCTGCTGTGCGCCATCGTGTGTTCTGTGATGCAACTGCAACAGGCCTTCTCAGTCGTGATGATCTGTGATAAACAGTCAATGGAAATCATTTGCACAGCACGGATGAGTGCAAAGGTAGTTGTCAAAGCTGTTGGAGGCAGCTGGAAATATCGGGAAAATATACCCCCTCCTCCCGGTTTGTAAAACCACCGGTGTTTACCCCCAAATTCTTGCTCCATAATAAACCCATGGCGTTTTAAGCTTCTTCTAGCAGTGGAATTCATAGAATGTCCCCGCCGTTTTGTTGTTTTGCAATGGCATTTGCTAAGCCTTCTAAAAATACCGAGTAAATAAAGCCCCCTAAAGGATTTATAGTTTTTCATTCCCACTCAAATAAAATGTGTTTTGCAACCCGTGGTTGTGGTTAAATCACAACCAGTATTTGCGTTGCGTAATACTGTCAGCGGAATAAGTTTTCTCTTTTTTCTCTCATTATACAAACGCATTAAACAAGATGCTCCACTTTCAACTTCAAAAACTTGACTCACAGTTTAACCGCTCACGAAATCTTCTAAGCACATGCCAAATGTTATGTGCTTACTGATTAGGGCGTAATGTGTGGCGCATTCAGCTTGCCAGTACTTAATGTGTTTGACCAACAAGGGGCGCGATTGTCGCGCTTACTGCTCATCACTGCTCTTAAAACTGAAGTGTACTCTGAGGAGACTTCAGAAGGTCGACCATCATTCCACACACTGGGAAACCTATTAAGTGTAAACCGAGTTCAAGTTATTTATAGCCTGCACTGATCACATGCTACACTCTGTATGCTTGCAGTCCGCCAAAACACGTGTCTACACTTTCTCCATAACCTGTGAATCATCCGTAAGAGTGGGCCTGCTGCTGTTTGACAAGGTGGTGTTGAAATAATAACATGCTCAGGATTAAAAGTGTCCCCTACACAATAATACACAAAAAGAAAAAAAAATGGCTCCTACAGAATTTTGCAACGCTTGCTCCTACAGCCAGTTGTCAGTATTGTTGTGTACTGCCGTGTTTTAAACACATATAGTGCTGTGCAACATTTTTGAGCCAGCCCTCATTTCTTTCTTTTCTTACCAGATTATCTTCTGTCTTCTCAAAACCTTTCAAAATGTTTATTTGCCCCCCCTCTCCATGGCATGGTGTGTACTGTGCCCTTAAAAAATTGAGGAAGCTGGGCAAGTGGAGAACAAAAGAAGTGTGTTACGTTCCCCTAAAAGGGTCCAGGCGATTGGGGAAAGTAACAAAAAAGTGTCCGGGTCGCAAGAAGGAGACAGAGAGGCAAAATGGTTAAATTAAAGAGTTTTATTAAAGTTTCTATTAATAACTCAACTAAAAGACAGACAAGCCGCTATCCCCATTTAAAGAAACAAAACAAAACTCAAACGTCGGTCGGTAAACTGAGAAGTAAGTCAGAAAAGGGTTAGTAACCAAACACACTCCTCCCCACCAAGCAGGAGCATACAATCACAAAATACAGCTCACTAGCTGCAACAGCTCAAATGGCACTCTGGCCCAGAGCTCACCTTTCTCTGGGCTTAAATACCTTCAATTGGTGATGGGAGTCAGCTGTATAAAATAAAAAGGTGGCACCCAAGACAAGAGAGATGGTAGGACACGCCCACACAGGCAACTTCAGGAGGAGGCCCTGCTAGAGCCGTAACAAAGTGTCAAGCATAACAAAAGAGAAAAAGAAAAAACTTATATCAGACCAACCAAACTGATAAACAGCAGCTTAACCCTTTACAGCCGATCGGATCAGATTTTTTTTACTATTTAATTTGTAAAAATGTGTATACACACACGTAGGAAAATATTTAGTATACACATCCAGAAATGCATACACTATTATGGTAAATGGCCTGTATTTATATAGCGCTTTTCTAGTCCCTAAGGACCCCAAAGCGCTTTACACAACCTGTCATCCACCCATTCACACACACATTCACACACTTATATATTGTACATATATTTATTAATTTCAGGTTGGCCATTCTTGTATTTTGCTCGTTTGTGTTGTTGTGTTTGCACATCTCTGTTGCTTGTGGGGCTCGCACACAAGAATTTCACTGGCATGTGCTGTGCCAGTGTGCCTGCACATGTGATGTGACAATAAAAGTGATTTGATTTGATTTGATTTGATTTGAGCGGGCACGCTCCATTTTGCGTAACTATTTTTAAATCCCGGTAGCACTGCAACCATGTAAGCTAGCGCAATAATTTTTTTTGCATATGAAACCGGAGGAGTTGTACTTACATCTTATGCCATCAGCTTGTCCTAGGTCACAGTTTCCTTCCACATATAGCTTTGCAAAAACTGCATAAAAATCACTTGCAGCAACAAAAACATGATATTCCAGAAACACGCTTCGCCGATCCGATCAGCTGTTTGTAACACTTCCTACGTCCATCAGCACGAACTATCACATGACCGCATGACCTGCCCGAAACCGGAAGTGACGTCATTTTGCGGAAATGTAGTTTTTTTTATGATCGGGGCCTTATAGAATAGAATAGAATAGAATAGAATAGAATAGAATTCAACTTTATTGTCATTGCACATGCACAGGTACAGGGCAACAAAATGCAGTTTGCATCCATCCAGAAGTGCTTTAGTGATATAGATATATTACAATATATATTAGCAATAATATAGATATGTGAGTATATTACAGAAATGGGTCTATTATGGTATGTTATAATGTACACGGTATGAAGTATGTTGTGAATATTCTATAACTATAAGTATGTACAGGCTGTAGTGAGTACAAGCTATGTACAGGATATGAACAGGATATAAATATGAAAAACTATACAGAATATGAAATAAATAACTTTACAGAATCTGGGATATACAGCTATACAGAAATGGGAACTATGCAAGTTGTAAACAGTTGTAGGATTAAAAATTATCGAATGTACAGAATGATTATTTACACAGAGCTATACAGTAGTGCAGTTAAGATAAGTGAGGGTGTAGATAATTTCTACAGAGGCTATATAAAGTGCTAGTGGTTGTGAGTGGTGGTTCAGTCCATGTTATTATTGTGTTTGAGGGTACAGTTGTCCATTGTGGGTGTGTGTATGTTCAGTCCATGAGTTTAACGTGGGTCAGATGTCAGGAGGCAGAGCTCAGGAGTCTGACAGCTGTGGGGAAGAAGCTGTTCCGGTACCTGGTGGTCTTAGTCCGGAGGCTCCTGTGGCGCCTCCCAGAGGGCAGGAGGGTGAAGAGTCCATGTGATGGGTGACTGGGGTCTTTGATGATTTTCCCAGCCCTTTTCAGACACCGCTTCCTGTAGATGTCTTTTATGGCAGGAAGTGGTGCTCCGGCGATGCGCTGGGCAGTTTTCACGGGCAACGCCTTCCGGTCCGAGGCAGAGCAGTTCCCGTACCAGACTGTTATACAGTTGGTCAGGATGCTCTCGATGGTGCAGCGATAGAAGTTCACCAGGATGTCTGAGGACAGGTGGTTCTTCCTCAGAGTCCTCAAGAAGAAGAGGCGCTGGTGAGCCTTCTTGACCAGCTTGGAGCAGTTGGTCGTCCAGGTGAGATCCTCGGAGATGTGGACTCCCAGGAACTTGAAGCTGCTCACACGCTCCACAGCCGTCCCCTTAATGTGGATGGGTGGATGTGGGTCAGCATTCCTCCTGTAGTCCACGATGAGCTCCTTGGTCTTCTCGGTGTTAAGCAGCAGGTTGTTTCTGTCGCACCACTCAGCCAGAGGATCCACCTCCTCCCTGTAGGCGGCCTCATCGTTGTCACTGATGAGGCCAATCACCGTGGTGTCATCTGCAAACTTAATGATGGTGTTGGAACCATCAGCAGGTCTGCAGTCGTGGGTGAAGAGGGAGTAGAGGAAAGGGCTCATCACACAGCCTTGTGGTACACCGGTGTTCATTGTGATGGTAGATGAGCAGCGGTTATCCAGCCGGACATGTTGGGGGCGGTTGGTCAGGAAGTCCAGTAACCATTTGCAGATGAGGGAACTGATACCCAGGTCTGTCAGTTTCCTGATGAGTTGTGAGGGGTGGATTGTATTGAATGCTGAACTGAAGTCTATAAACAGCATTCTGGTGTAGGTGTTGTTGTTGTCCAGGTGTGAGAGGACAGAGTGCATTGCGATGGAGACTGCATCCTCTGTGCTCCTGTTCCGGCGGTATGCGAATTGGTGGGGCTCCAGGGTGGGGGGGAGACAGGATTTGAAGTGTGCTAGGACCAGTCGCTCTAGGCACTTAGTGATGATGGGGGTGAGTGCTACTGGGCGGTAATCATTGAGGCAAGATGGGTTGGAGTTTTTGGGTATCGGGACGATGGAGGTGGATTTGAAGCAGGCCGGTATCACAGCGTGGGCCAAGGACAGATTGAATATGTCTGTGAGCACTCCTGCAAGCTCCCCAGAACACGCTCTGAGAACACGCCCGGGGATGCCATCAGGGCCTGCAGCCTTGTGGACATTGATCCTGCTCAGCACCACTCCTA